CGGAATGCTAATCAATAATTAAAAAAAGTTTTACTTGTTGATAATTCAAAGAGTATGCAACTCCTAAGTTAAGCATCTCTGATACCAATTTAATTTCACTTTGCAGATCGAAAGTACTGAAAGACATGCCCCGGATAAAGGGAAGGCCAGGTGCAAGCTTGGCACCATTAGACTTCGACGCATTGAAGTTGAAATTGCAAGAATCTCATCCAAACATCACGAACAGAGACGTCATGTCCGCGGCTCTCTACCCCGAAGTTACGAACGAGTACCTAACATTTAGAGAAGACTTTGGACCAGTGGACAAACTCGAGACCAGGTTCTTCTTGACGGGGCCAAAGGTTGGCGAGGAGTTCGACGTAACGATCGCGAAGGGTAAAACCTTGGCGTTCAAAGCGTTGGCCGTCGCTGAAGATCTCACGCCTCAGGGAGAACGAGAAGTGTTCTTCGAAATGAACGGACAACTCAGATCTGTGTTCATTAAGGATAAGGAAGCCGTCAAGGTAAAATTATAGTCGATATTTGTAAATAAAAAAGTCAAATTGATGTGTATTTATTCTCGACATGTATGTATTTGAAAACAACGTTCTTCTGTATTCTGTGAATTCAGGAGCTTCACGTGCATCCAAAAGCTGCCAAAGGTGACAAAAACCAAGTTGGAGCACCCATGCCTGGCACAGTCATTGACATCAGAGTGAAAGTAGGCGACACAGTTGAAAAGGGTGCACCATTGGTGGTCCTGTCGGCCATGAAAATGGAGATGGTGGTGCAGGCGTCGAAAGCAGGGAAGATCAAAACGCTGGATGTCTCTCAGGGAATGAGATTAGAAGGAGACGATCTAATTTTGACCCTCGAATAGATCTTTCAACTTCGCCAGACCGGAAGGTCTCCGACGCCATGCCGTTGTATACATTCTTGAAGCGAGAGTCCATTTTGTTTAATTGATAATAGCTGGACGCCATTGCTACTTGTATAAAAATAAGTCTTACTCGTCTTAGAATTCGTAGGAAGTGGAAAATGTATATATATATACATATTCTAGTTTTAACCAAGGAATCGAAATTTCGTCCTTTTTTTATATATATATTTAAGCAATTTTTTGTTTTCTTTCGCAGAAAACATTGTTATCGTTCCTACCCGCTTAGAATAGAATATCTTAATGTGATTCCTTATTTTTTTATGAATCAAATGGTGTCGAACTGGCTTTCGACGACAGCGAAACGTTTACGTTTTAGAATCGTTTACATGTCGCAATATTGGAAGATCGTTGTTTGACGACTTCTAAAATTCCAAAGGATAGAGAACAGAAAGGAGAAGTCGAGAATCGTTTTATGATAAACCGAAGACAGATTTACTATTCCCCGTTATAAATTTAAAGGATAAAAGGCTTGTTTAATTAAACAAAAATGTGGCTCTTGTCATAAACGAAGATGGTTACGCATAAGTATAGACATTAATTGCAAATGAACACAACGAACGTCCCATTAAAAACTTCATCGCGTTGTGTATCAGTTGGTGAAACAATTTTTTTGCGAGATCGTTGAGAACAACGTTTTGTAATATATTTTTTATTCCGTTCGATTTTAATCATTCGCCAAGAATCATTTTTTTTTCGCGCCGATCATTTACTTAGTATTTAATGTAACGTTGCGAGGGCAAACTGGTCTCTTTCTCGTGATTCGCGGAGAATGTGATCGTTGTACATTAATTTTTAACTAGAACTTAAACACGGCTATCCAGCCAGGCAGCCGGTAACTGTGTTCACATTCGACGATTGTTGCTGAATCGAAAATTTCATTGTTCGAGCAATTTTCGAACGATGCAAGCGCAAATTTTTATACCAAATAGATTCCAAACTGTTGAAATATACCGTGGTGAAAGTTGCAAAATTTTTGATGAATTGTACAAATTGCTGATTGTAACTTTTAATGTGCAATCAGTTTTTGAAACGCTCTGCCCGTTAGATCTAAGTCGAGAGAAGGTCGAGCAAGAGAAACCAATCGAAAGTCTCTAGACGTACAAAGTAGCTGAAAGGAATGTTCAATATTTTGGATAGTGGATCGATATGAAATCTAACGAACAACATTGGTGTATAGGAACTCGTGATTTGTGTTTGTTGTGCAATAGTTTCGTATGAAAGAATAGTGGCAGACTTATTTACAAAGAGGTCGTGAGTTTTAATTCAAATGAGTGTAACGATCCGTTGGTATCAGTGTTCAGAAAATGACAATGGATAGGACGTGGAGTAATTTATATAGTACACGATGTTTGATGTAATTGATTTACAACATACGAAACATTATTATTCTCTAACAACTTGACATGCTTTTCATGCTTCTTATCCAATTTTACACAAATTTCAATATTACGATTCGTATAACCGAGCATGATTTGTACATTCATTTCAAAAATCGTTTCGTTTTTTTTTTTTTTTAATTGTAGACGAGCACAATATAGGGAACAAAAGTAATGTAATAATTTATTTAAAAAACGATTTTGTACATATTAATTTTTAAACCACTGGAAATAAACAGGAATCTGACGACGATTAAAGCAGGATTGCAAAGAATTGAATATACATATAATCGTACTGATTTCGAGAGTGTGCCAAAAGCTGCGCAACGAATGTCCGAACGAGCTGAATTCACGATGTAGTTGTACATATAAATATATACAGCGTGTATAGGTATATAAGAAGTGATAATGTTTCTCCTTTGTTTGCATTTCAAAGGACTGTACAATTGACATAAAGAAATCTACGAGCGTTGAACGTTGCGATTATATTGCAATCTCCGCACCAATGTGCATCTAAACAATGTTCGCAAACTATTTATGTAGATATTAAAGTTTAACGAATGCAATTACATTTGTACGGAGTAAAAGGACCAAATGCAAAAGTGGTTTTAGACTAAGCGCGCCAGTTGTTTCCTTCCGTCCCTTTCTCTCCCCCTTTGGAAAGCAAACGACGGATCAAAATTGGAAGAATTTAATTGTTTGTTGAATACACGTGAAAGAATGACCACCATGTTTCGTTAACATATGTTTTAACCTCTGGAAAAATGTTTAGCAAATAAAAATAGAAGAATCAAAATATGATGCACATTAGGTGCGACAATAAAACTCAATTTTAAAAACACACCATCATCATTCTCTCCAATGAACATGCTGCACACTCTACTATGCTAATCAACCAGCATTTAAGTAATGAATGGGATGCATCATCACCTCAGAACAATGAGCAGCACCATTATTGTTAATAATTATACTTTACTATTCGTTAAATTTATTATAAGAGCATATAGGCAAGCTAATGGACACGAATTCAGTATCGCCATCTAGCGGCGGCGACCGAACTAATTTTTCACATGTATTCACATTTTTTTACCTCTCTCTGCATATTCATATAATTTTACATCCTAATTATTATAATTCAACATTTAATTGTTGATTTTTACACTAATAATTGACTGATATTAAGTTTTTTAAATAAATAAATATACCGAAAAATGTGGCGCCATCCTCGGCGAACCGCCCAAGTTTCTCGTGAAATAGTTTCCACTCAGCGCCGCCAGATGGCCCCTCCAAGAGGAAAATATTCAAAACATAAATTCTCTACTTTTCTTTGCATAGAGATTTAATTTTACATCGTAATTATCATAATTGAACTTCTGATTGTTGATTTGTACAC